CAAAACTCTACATTAAGTTTGAAACTTATTTCAAAATTTTTATTAAATTTTTAGATTTTTATTAAAGTAAATAATTAGTCTTTAAATTAATTAATCGATTTGGGTAATTTAATATTTTTTCTTATAATGGACTTAACTTTTATTTATATCTTACTTGTAGGATATAGTTAATATCCACCACACATGTGACATGCAATGTGTTATCTATAAGTGAGAAGTAATCGGATATTAAGTTTGTCATAAAAAGAAAGAATTAAATTATTTAAATTACTAAATATAGAAAACTTATTTATTTTGATAAAAATTTAAGAGTTTAATAAAAAATCTAGAGTAGATTTGAAAACTTTTTTTGAACAAATTATAACTTTAAAAGTAAAAAGTCTAAAACCTAACCTTTAGATTAAAAGTGCACCGACAATATGATTTATAAGCATAAATCAAGAAGCCCAGGTGCGAGTAAATTGAAGACTTAACGTAGGAATTTGCCTAGGAATTAATGGGACTTAGCTGTAGTTGGGTCAGTCTGGACGCGGAAATTAGGCATATTTTCTTTTCTAGATTGCTTGTTCTCTGTTCACATGGGTTGCAGAAAGTTTTACAAACAATGTCAAAAGAAGAGGAAAACTTGCATAAGACAAAAAATTATCGGCAGAACATGAGGCGCCATTACAGGCCATTGATGTTGAAAGGTATTAATGCCACAACTTGCCATGAGGCCGAGGACCATGCATTGCGGTAATGTGGTTGGCAACATTATTGTCAAAATTTAGATTTAAATCTTAAAATCTTACGATTTTACGATGTAAGTAAAATATTTCGTGTAAAATTTATATTAAAATCTAAAATTTATAAAATCTGGGGATTTCACGATAAAATCTAGATTTTATCGTGAAATCGGGTGAAATCAGGTAAAATCTCGATTTTACCTTCTATTTGGCAGTTGGACTTTTAGTTTATTTCCTTTTTAAGTTTCTCATCTTGGTTTAGTAAGTTTTGATTAGATAACTCATAAATTAAGCTCATTTTTCATTTTAACAACCTACAACCCACACAACCCAATCACAAATCAACATTTTTATCGGGAATTCGAGACAAATTTGATTTAATCATCTAAAATTCTAAATTTAAGTCATCTTCTTTGTTTACTTTATTTGTGTTGTTGGATATTTATATTTTAATTAGCTAATTTCAAGTTTTTAACTCGAAATTTGATTTATTGTTATTTAATTTT